TTTTTGCTATTATATTATATAATAGTTAATGCTATTAAATTTTTTACATGATTACACTTAATAGAGGTGTATTAATGTGAAAGGCAAAATATGAATGACAAATTTTGTAACTTCTTTAGGAGGGAAAATAAATGAGGTTTTATTAATTAGGTTTTATTTATGAGGTTTTATTTAATGATTAGCTAGCAATTATATATATATATATATATATATATATATAGATATTGATTTTATTCTCGCGATTTTAGTATAGCCCCATTCTTTACAATCAAATTAGTACAATTGCTAGGAGTAATAATTTAAATTAAAACAATGAAAATAAAATATAATTAGTACAAATTATTATATTATATTATTTCAATTCTTAAATAAGTGATGATAAAGTGAAACAACTGTGACAAATATCATAAACCGACACCTAATTTAAAAAGAACTAGTATCTTCACCCGTGCGATGCACGGAACATATTTATTAAAATATTTTAATAAATACATTAATATATATATATATATCATAAAAAGTAAATGACAAGTAAATAACATTATTATTGAATAGATAGTAAAAGTACAATATTATATGGTATTACAAATTTAGAAAAAATTCTCGATAGACAACATTTTTAGTAGTTTTCTTTTCCCCATTATCGTCCCACCACATATTAATATCTTCAATCCCTGTGGATTAGTGACTCGAGACACATCAACGTATAATTGACCATGACTAATAAACACAGGTCTTTTCATGTAAAGTCCGACATGGGATAACGACTGCTCTTGACTCTTGTTGATTGTCATTGCGTAAGAAAACATAAGAGTAAATTGTCTACGCTGGAACTTGAAGGGTATCCTGAGATCAGATGGAGATAGGAAAAGTCTTGGTACCAGTACCTTATGTCCAGCATTTGATCATGTTAGAATCTTACATTCAAACACGTGAGTGAAAAGCTTCGGTATCACCAAGCGTGTTCCACTACACAGTCTAATCGAATGGTCAATATTTCTCAACAACATGACAGAAGTCTCAACCTTTAAGTGCAATTAATGATTTGGAACACCAAAACATTTTATACTATTTAAGAACTCCAGAGTGTGCAGGTCATGCAAGAAATCAATACCACCATCAGATTTGAATATGAGAGAACAATACACAGATTTTGAATATGAGATTTATAGCGTGAATTACTCCTATTTTGTACTCGAGTATCTTAGTTAGTTTGAGTGTTTTGTTAAGTATTCACCAATAATATGCTTAAATTTTATTGACATTAATATGATTCAAGTATTTTGTTAAGCATTCAGCGGCAAAATTTCAAAAATGATACACTAAGTTGGCATTGTCAACAAAACAGTCATTTTCTTGTCCCTCACGGAAAGAAAATATTTAGTTGACAATTTGGTCGGAAAAGATACATTAAGCACTCAACTTGGATAAAAAAACTGACGTGGTCAGATTAGATAATGACGTGACATTATAAATTTCCTTAATTTCCTACGTGTGATATACGTGGCGTTATGTGTCATCCTTCTCTCCAAGTACACAACTACGCTAACATAAATAAAAATAAAAATACTCGAAAAATAAATCAATACACATCAGAAAAAATAAGATAATACTAATATAAATAGAAAATAAATCCAAAAATAAAATAAAATAAAAAAAATAGAAAAAAATATATTTCGTTCTAATTTCTCAACTATATATTAACAAAATATTTAAAAAATTTATATTTTGTTAATATATATTAAAAAATAAAAAAGATATTTCGTTAATATTTCGTTTAACATAAATATATTTCACTAATATATATTAAAAAATACTAAAAAAATGAAGTTCATTAATAATAATAATTTTATATAATTTATTATACTATATAATATAATACTTTACATAATATTTTATTTATTTAATATATATAAGTATATTAGATATAAATATAAATCACAAATTTAAATTTATATTTAAATAAATTGAAATATATTTTTTAGATATATATTTTTAAAATAATTAAAATATATTTTTTAATATAAATTTATATTTCGTGATTCATATTTATATTTAATACTTATATATATTAAGTAAATAAAATTTTATGTAAAACTACTATATTAAATAATATAATTAATAATAAATTATATATAATTATTATTATTAACAAAATATTTTTTAATATATATTCGCGAATATATTTATATTTAACAAAATATTAACAAAATATTTTTTAATAACGAAATATTAACAAAGTATTTTTTTATTTTTTTAATAATTTTTTATATGTATTAAAGAAATATAATTTTAAAAATATTTTATTAATATATCGTTAAGGAAATAGAACAAAATTTTTTTATTTTTGGATTTTTTTAATTTTTCTATTTTTTTTTATTTTTATTCTTATTATAATTATTGTTATTTTTTTTTTTGATAATGTGTCTTTATATTTATTTATTTTTGGATTTTTTTTTATTTTATTTTTATTTATCTATGTATAGTTGTGTATTTTGAGATAATGATGTCACATCACGCCACGTATATAACACGTATGAACTAAATAAAGTTATAATGCCACGTCACTATCTAATCCGGCCACGCTAGCTTTTTTATCCAAGTGGGGTGATTAATGTATCTTTTCCGACCAAATCGCCAACTACATGTTTCTTTTCCGCGAGAAACAACAAAATATCTATTTTGTTGATAACGCTCAACTTGGTGTATCATTTTTGAAATTTTACCAGCATTCACCATTATCATGTATTCATCTAATAACTTAATTTAAATAGATTATTCATAATAAATATTCTTTTTAATTTGTTTTTTGGATCTATGCGTAATGTTAGAATAAACTAATACGTATGGTTATGTTAGCATAAACTAATACTGCTGCCTTAAAAAACATAGTAATGACATATGTAGAGTTCATGATATTAGATATATTTAAGGTATCAAGTGATTGAAATATGGTGACCGATGTTATACATTTTTAAATATATAGTAAAAGAATATTAATATATTTCCAAACAGAATTAATTGAGTAAGTTAACTTTTACTTATTATTTTCCATTCCTAAAATTTACCAAAAATAATTGAATACGAATTTAGTTATGTTAATGTATTTCCCTTAATTATTTGCCATTCTTAACAAAAATAATTAACCTTACAATTACAATTACCCAACCAAATGTAGAAATGTTGCCAATTATAGTCATTGCATATCATCTATATTTAGCAATAAATTCCATCAACTCCCTCTTTATATATATATATAGATGTACCGCGCATATTATTTTAAAGTTACAAAACTACTAATTTTTAATAATTTCAATATTTTTTATAAATTATAATAATGTATGTTATAAAAACATAATTTTTTTAATATAATAATTCATATGACAGTTCGACACCGATTTATTTATCTTTAGAATGGAAAACAATATATATTATAAATATTTTGATTTTTTTTTATCTAATATTTACATAATAGTTTGATGGACGACTTGTTGGTTTAACATTATAGTTTATAACAATGTACATTGTAAATAATTTATTTGATGTGCTAGGACATGGATCTAGGTTGAACGGCCACGAGTGTTTAATATTTATTTTTGATTTCTCATATGGTGAGACGTATTCCACTAGGTCAATAATTTGGTGAGTTGAGAAATATAATTATTTACATGGCGTGTTGTTGACTATATTTGATCATTGTGTAATGGTGCGTCATATTGATGATGTTTCCGAAACGAGCTCAAAAGCTTATTATATTGAACTTTGTAGGTGGATTAAGTTTGGACATAATAATAAGGATTGAGTGGCGAGGCGCGAGGACCGACACGGCAAGGCGAGACGCGACCGAAGGGACAAGATGCTCACGGCGAGGCAGACGAGGAGGTTGAAGACAATCTCAGAACCGTTCGTCCAGGCCGATAGCACGTGTATGTTTGTACAAAGTCGACATTAGCAAACAAGATAGATTTGAATCTAATTGTTAGTTCCGCTGCGCGGTAGGATTCTTATATTAGTTTCACAATCGATTCAAAGCCACATTTTAAATATCGTACCGTACCGGCCGGTAATACTGGTAATACCGGATACCGGCCATTGGTACGGTACAAATACACTCAAAATACCGGATTTACGGTTATACCGATTTGTACCGGGATCATACCGTAAAAACCACAAAATACCGGTCCAAAATACCGGCTAATTAAAAAAATAATAAAATAATAAATTTTTTTAATTTAAAAAAAAATAAAATTTAAATTAGTAGTTAATATATTTTATTTTTATCTCATTGGAAAGTTGAAATTAATGATTAGGTTATTTATTTTTTTACTTTAGTGCATTTGGTATTAAATATTTGTATGTACATATTTATTATTATATTTGTTAATCTGGTAATACCCCCGATATTACCGGTGCGATTGATAATACCGCGTACTGGTGGCTAGACCGGTATGACCACCGGTACGGTATTTAAAACACTGATTCAAAGCACGATCAACGAGCATCCTTCACTGAACCCAACACGTTTAATGCTCTTCCTAGAAATCACCATATTTTTCTATAGCCGAGAAATACAAATGGATGCGTATCAATCATTGTTTAATGCTCTTCCTAGAAATCACCATATTTTCTATAGCCGAGACATACGAGAAATACAATGGTTGCGTATCAATCATTGTTTAATGCTCTTCCTAGAAATCACCATAATTTCTATAGCCGAGACATACAAATGATCTGTTCTTACATATGTATAATTTCCATTGCGTTCTCCACATACAAACCTTATACTCAACTGGGCTATGCTACCTAGACTCGGATATGGGTGGCGTATCGGGTGTGGAGATATGAGCGTCCGACTCGTCAATAGTTTAGAAATATTAAACATTTTAGGCTAAAATGCCACACCCGACACTCATACCCACACCAGTGTCAACACAACACAACATGACACGGGTATTCTTCCTAAATACTAAATAGAAGAGTCCAGGTAACATAGCAACTGGGCATATGCACCTCCAAACAAAAATTTCGAATACTCAAACGAAGAAGTGTCGAAGCATGCCCAGATCATTACACCAAATGAAAGATAATCCTCTCTTCCCCATTAATATTACAAAATAGAGTGGTCCTAATTTTCAAGTTAATCCTCAAATTGAGTTCACCGAGTCCGCATCACTGCTTTCGCTACTGCCACTCCCACTTGCACTACTTGCGCTTCCACTCCCGCTCCCACTTTCGCTACTGTCACTCCCTCCGCTGCTACTTCCCGAGCTGGAGCTTTGTCTTTCCTGAGCGTTCATCACCTGTAACCTCAGGGCCTCAGCCGCATTGGGGCCCCCCTCATCATCGTTGACATCAACATCTGCAATCTCGTCGTCCGTGTTTGCTTGCTGAGCTGGCACGTTGATATCAAAATCGATTTCTTTCACTTCTATGCTACCTTCTACATTATTACTACTGTTATTGATGTTGTCTTCTTCATCATCGTTCATGATGTCAAGATGCAAGTCCAAGTCCAAGTCCAAGTCATCATCATCGTCATCCTTCTTAGGGTCGGGTGATGGGTTTGGTTGGGGAGTTGGGCCGTGCTCTACGGTTTCGTCTGCTCTGACTTTTGGGTCTGACACATTTACAGAGATACAATAGATACCATTAGGGAAAGAATGTCTGTTCCTACGTAAGCACTCAATGTTTTAGGGAATATACATATCAATCTTTTGTTTTGAAAAATTCAGTACACTGAAAACACTTTCTACGTAAGCAAACACTTTCAGAAACAGGGATGTCATCCTACATTCACTATTTGGAATAAATGACACTCAAAGTCTCCAACCAGATACAACCCAATACACATGAAAGTAAAGAAATATTTTTAGGGAGGAAAGGAAAAAAGGAATGCTGTCAGAATGAATAATCAGAATGCATTCAACTGTGCACCCACACGAACAGGGGCATTAGTAGACAATGAGGGGGGAAAACTATTGCTTCTTTAAAATTAAATTGAGCAAATTGGCTTGGGAATAAAATTAATGCCACACACAACTGATAAGTAAAGGTAAAATCCAATATCTGGAAAAATAGTCCACATCTGGCTTCAGGAACCCATGAAGTTTGCCTTCAAAATAAATGAAAACTTCCACAATTTCGTACAATAGAACTTCCTACACTCAACTGTACTAATCTGGCTGGATTGAAATACATATGTATATTGTTGCAGAGACACGAAAGTCAAAACTGCTAAATAGTGCAAGCTGTAAACCAATCTGGATCACATACCTGAGTTTCTGAAATTACCAATCTCAATTCGTTCAACTTCAACCTGCACAAAGGCATATCGACAAAGAGTCATCAATTTGCATAACAGAGAAGCAAAAGCTTGCCCGTAAATTTCAATGAGGACATCATTATCATAAACAGAACACAACCCTTCCAACATAAATTTTCTCATTGTTGGTTAAAGCAACAATGTTCCTATATCAACAATGAAACCCCTGAAAAAGGTCTCACGCGAAAAAGTTGAAATCTTTTCAAAAACCCTCAGCAACCACATCAAATGTATAAATAAAAATAATAATCAGCTGAAACTATAACACCTGCAACACTTTTTACTCTCATCTTTAGAAACTCCAATTTACCAATTTTCTACATGAAAAGCAAATTTCAAAAGACGAATCACATGTTTAAAAGTTTTAGAAAGATGAACAAGAAAACCTAAAAGAAGATCAGAGTTAAGAAAGGAAAAAAAA